CAGAAGTTGTGTAAGGGTAGAACATGTCTTCTAACTCTATCTTCATGCCATCAAAGATCACACATTCTCTCTGGCCCACTGATTGTGCGTGGTGGGATCAAATATCCTGGAACTGTCTTTTGACTCTCCGAAGTCTGCAAACATATTCATTCCAATGTGTCTTTTTTTCCTGGAGAATTTAATAAATTTTCCTGCTCTTAGTGACTAAGGAAAAAGCAGTGGAGTCAGAGTGATATATAACAAGTTATAAATGTTTGGAAGTCATAATCATTGAAGAGCATATTTCTGTTATTAACTCAAACTAATCTGTAATTGTTAGAATGTGTGAAGTTAAGGATTTAAGAATCTTCTTATGTATATTCCATTTTAACTCATTTTGTCCTCTCCTTACTCCCCTTGAATTTTAACAAAAATAATGAATGAGCAGTCCTCAGCCTTTTCTGAAAGTAAATTCTTTAAAAACTTTTTCTGTTTAAGAAAGCATTGAAATTGTTAATGTATAGTAATAAAATTAAAGCATACTGAAAACAATTTTGAATTAGTTTCTATTATAATTTGTTATTTGGTTGGGCAAACAGTTAAGTGACTTCTACTTATTAAAAGGTTCCTGTATTAGTGAAGTTTTCCCCCCCTACATATTAACTTTAGGAATTTGCAAAAGAGTACATACACACTGACCCTGTTAGAGTTATTTCTTCTGGAGTATCAGTCTTCTTAACTACCGATTAGAATATCAATCAATATGTCCGTCTTCATTGTAATTATACAATGGCTGAAGGAAAATGACCTTGAAGGCTGTCTCTCAGTTTAATCAGGTGGCTCTATTTTAAAATATAAATAATGGAATAAAAACATTTTCCATAAATTTCTGATACCTAATTAATGTCTTCCAGAGTAACTGTCATATCAAACATTTCCTCTAATTATATTCATTAGTGGCTCTTCCTGGACAAGTTTTAATTAAGTTGTACAGTAAAGATCAATATTCGTGTATTCATTGCAATTTACAATAAGCATATATACTATTCAGAACAATTTAATTACTGTAATTATAGCATAGAAGATATTTAGTGACTATGCTCCATTACTGCCAATTCCTCTTTTTAATAAACTTGCTAATGAAATTGGGAAATGAGCTTCTGAAAATTCTCATTTATATAGACCCTATGTCCAAACTTCTGTTTTTACATAACTAACTTCTTATCTTTCTATTTTTTTATGTAAGCTAGTAGGGGAAATAGAGGCATTAATAACATCAGTGGGAGAGTGCTTTTTCACCTATGCCATCATGAATGTTGAGAAACTATTATAGTGTAAATAAGAACACCTGTGATAATTATATTGTTTATGCAAAATAAATTTGAGTGTTGTGTAGTCAGAATACTCTATTTTATTCAATAAGACTATTTATTTTCTTTTATTTCCTCACATAGGAATATTGTTTTAGGTCATAGTGAATGCCTTCAAATATGCTGACTTCTGTTAATGAACAGAGATCATGTTACTGATGTACTGTACAATTGTCAATGTAGCAAGTTTTCTAGAAGCATCAACATGTATATAACAGTACTTCTCAACTTTGGCACTAGTGAAATTTGGGCCAGACAGTTCTTTCCTGGGAGTTCTGCCACACATAGCAGGATGTTTAGCTGCATGCCTGGCTTCTTCCCATTAAATGCCAGTAGAGAATACTCCCCCTGTCCCAGTTTTTTCAATCGAAAATGTCTCCAGACATTACCAGATATCCATGTTGAGAACCACTGGTGTATGCTGATTAGCCACACCCTCTTGATCTGTCCACTGACCAAATGATTCATTCATAAAACAAACAGCTATTCAGCTGTTCTGAGCTTAGGCTAGGTTCATAGGCATGAGTCAAACATGGTGTTCTTTTAAGAAAACAATACAATTCTTTGTATTCATTTTTTAAGAGATAAGAACTTGGTCCTAATAGAATGTTCAGTAATAATACCTAACTAAGATTTAGGTAAGAGAGGATCAGAGATGGCTTCTTGATGAAGGTAGTTCCTGAAATATGTTTTATTTTCTTTTTTGCCATTTATATTTACTGCTTTTAGTTTTGATATCAGTAAAATTGACTGAGAACTCAACATTGTGCCTAACCTGAAATATGTTTAGAAACAAATGAAGAGGTAGCAATTCAGAACTGGGAAAGGGCATTTGAGACAGCTGAGGCACCTGGTTCAAAGCTTGGAGGTAAAATAAAGATACATATTTTATAATTTATACATAAATTTTAGCTATTTTCTCTGGGGCATCAAATCCTAATTTATTCTGTATTATATAAACAAAGTTGTAGTAATCTGCAAGCAATTGTTTCAAACACCTAACTTTACTCTTTTTTGGTCAATTTCCTATTCACTAATAGCATATGTAAATACCTTTTTCACATTGTGAATTTTATGAAATCATTTGTTTCCAGGAGGAGAAAAATTTTAGACAGTAGAAGGAAGTGACATACTTGTATTCTTTGTAGATCTCCTAATCTATTTATCTGAGGGAAAGCCTTTTGACAAGATCACCATAGAAAAGATTATATAGATTTCTATTGCAGTTATTTTCATGTATTATGTAGTATATTTCAATAATAAGGACTCCCCATAAGTTATATTAGCAGCCAAGCTAGTATTTGAAGGTCATTAATTTACTTCTATATTTACATGTTTTCAGAAATAAAAAAAAAGGTAAAAATAGTAATTTAGATTAAAGTTAATTCAAGTGAGGGGAACTAAATTTTGAAAAGATGTCTGTAATGTGTTGGTTATAATGAATTTTTCAAATCCACATATTAAGAGGTCTACAAGGAATGCTGTGTTTCTCATGGGAGGCTGGTTATGAATTCCTAGAATTCCTATGCACATCAGTTTGACACCACAGGATTAAGTTCAATTTGACTGCCATCATACTAACACCCTTAGTTTGCTGCTTTGCTCTACTTCATCTAATCTACACAGATACAGTGCTCGTCAATATCAAAGGTGAATCCAATGAATCATTAAGTCGAATAAACATAACAATTTAGGTTCTGCACTCCCCTGGTATTTAGTCATGTCTAGACATAGCCCTAGTGTCCCAGAAAAACTAAAATGAGGACAAGGGCATTTAAGTTTAATGTAGCCTTATTCCCATGGAAACCAGAAAAGCCAACAATAGAGTAAAGAAGAAAAGAATATTGATCTAACTGAAAAATTAAATGTAGTGAAATGACTGGCAGGATTTGCAAGGTCAGTGGGTTCTAGAACAATTTTGGCCTGTATTTTTTGTTTTAAACATCAGTTTTTAGGTTAGGTCATCATCCCTCGAAGAAGTTGATAATTTCACAAATTATTTATTTTATTATTCTTTAAATCCAGTATGATGTGAGTAGGCAAAAAATGATACAAACATTATAAGGCATGCACTTTTATAGTTAGAGCCCAGAAAGTAGTGAGAGAATAAACTATTATATTTAGCAATAATAGTTTATATATACATATATGTAATATGCAGCATATTTCTATTTTTCTGCAAATTTTAGCTTGTTGATTTGTTTTAATGTTACTAATACTTGTTGTATTAGTCTAAGACTAAGACTTGTTGTAAAAGTCTACTTGTTGTAGACTTTTAACTTGGCTTATAAGATATGTATGTTCACAAATGTACTTTTGTTTCATTAATTTGTAGTATTGTGAAATAAATTGATAAGGCTTAAATGTACATAATTTTTATAACATGTAGAAAACTTGAATTTCAGTTGTGAATCCTGATTTCCTCAATCATAATAATTTTATCATATTCTCTTATAAAGTATGACAGCAGATTTCCCAGTTTGTCAACAGTTATTCCTTTAACACCCCAGACTTACACTTGCAGATAGAATCATTCTTTTAGAATTGGTGGTATTTCAAGATACTGGCTCCTCTAGCTAGCAATAATGGAGAAGTTTTTCTTTTGGTTCCATATGCCAGATTCATTCAAAGTAGGTCAGTTGCACAATGGGCCTTGTAGATCCATGTGGGTCAGGTATAATAGGTTGGAATGATAATGATCTGTGATCCAAGTCTAAAACATTTCACCTGTGTAGTACCCTTTAATCTAGTTTGATTTCCAAGGACAGTATATAAATTCCATGTATATGAGTATACGTGTGTAGATGTGTGTGTGTGTGTGTGTGTGTGTGTGTGTGAGTTTCTGTGTATGTGTGAATGTGTTTGAGAGTGAGTGTGTTTGTGTGCACTTATTTATCCATGGCTTCCTTTTGTAATGATGGTATTCAAACTTCCATCTTGGGAGTTTCCAAATATCTTAGAATTTCTAGAGCTAATGCATCTGACAGTTTTATACAAAACACAATTTAGACTATTAGACTATGGTCATATCCAAGTAGAAGATATCTTTGGGAATACAGTGGACTCAACTATAGCAGGAACTCCAAGAACTGCTACAATTTCCTTGTCTTTGTTAAGGGTGTGTAGATTTATTTCTTAATTAAACTTGCAATTTGGATTACAGATTTTTGTTAATATTACAAAAAAAAGTTACAAGCTTGGGAATAGTTTATTTCTGTTTAATGTAAATTATTTGTTAATTGTTTCATAATAGCTTTCCAGAAGAAAATAAAATACATTTAGCTACAGTTTTATGACTGCAGCTTAATCCCAAAACTTAGAGCCTTTTTAAAGGCAGCATGAGCCTTTCCTTTTCGTGGGCCTTTCTCTCATTTTTTTCTTTTTCATATTATTAGTTTTTTTCCCTTTATTCTTGCTTGGCAAAAATAAATACATGTAGGGTAATGACTTTTGCTATAATTGTTCTCCAAATGTTTATTCATTTGTTTTTTTTTATGTCAATACTTTTTTAAAATTATACTCATTGTATTCACCACAGTGAGAGCTTAATCTAATTTAAGTTATGTAAACAAAATGCACTTTTAATAACACTATTGAAATATGGCTGCCATATTATATATTTCATTCATTTTTGTGTTCTTTCTCTTTCAGTGAATTTATTGGATTCACGCACTGTCATGGGGGACCTGGGATGGATTGCTTTTCCAAAAAATGGGGTATGTGTTTATGAATTTTTTTTCTAAAACTTAAGCTTCATGCATAGACATCTTGATAAATGTATCATGGATGAAATTTTACTGGACATACTTGTTAAGAGAGGAGGGGACTGTGTGTGTTGGATGGTGTCAGAGAACCTCAAATTAACTTTGACAGGGAAAGGGGAATAACAGGGAAGGATTTTCAATGCCTGAGTAAAAAAATATATTATTTTCTTCTTGAGTATTTTTCCACAAAGAAATGTGAAGTTTCATTCATCATTCAGGAAAATTTCAGATTGAAGCAACCAAGAAATTTTCAGAATTGTTGTATATTAAAAATCATTGATTTGCTGCTTATTTACCATCATCATGGTTATATTGCATCGAAAATAAAATTTAACATGTCTATGACCAGATTCTATGACCATGTCTATGACTTGATTGAAAGCTGGGACCAATTTATTTTTTATTTCATTTATAGAATTAGGAAATGAAAATATTATAAGGAATTCCAGTATGTTCCATTGACATTGAAAATTTCTAAGATTATCAGTTTAGTCACCATTCAAAGGTGGTTTTCTAATTCTTGAATTTTTCTTTACTGAAACTTTTCAAAGATGTTTTTATTAAGAGATTTTTATAATTTATACTTTTTTAAAATAAATTATTTTACAGTATACATTAACACTGAAGTTTTTTGGGTGAAAATTTGGTCTTATTTTTACAATAAACATCTCAAAGTATTTATGATACAACAATCTTACTACATTGATTACGTTAAAAATACAACCTTACTATCTGCTCAATTTAAAACATATCTATATTATATGATGGAAAAATAAAAACATGATAAAATCATCATATTACACAGAAAATATTAAATGTATTGCATGACTATTATATTAAAATAATTTGGACTTTGAGAAAAGATTTTATTACCTAATAACTTTAATATTTTCTAATTTCCAGACTAAAACTGCTGAAACTCATTGTAGAATCACCTTATGATAAAGACAAATGATATTTTCAATTGTTTATTTTAAGAAAAAATATTTAAACAATTTGAATTCCTAGAACAATTATAATATCATGCACATATGCAATTCATCTTGAAAATAGTGCATGCCAATATTTTATAAAACATTGAAGATTAATTTTAGTTTAAGTAATCAAATATTATAACAAATATGGTTGTAACAATCCAAACAGCCCAAATTCTTTTTTTTTTTTTTTTGAATTAATAAGAAAACTAGATGTGTTAATCAGTCCTTTACTAAGAAAGTTGCTATGGAAATAAAACAAGTAGTATTCATTGTTTTAATATGTAATAATTTATATTTTAACATCCTAATCCCAGTGAGCTTTCCTGTTTTTCATCAATTTGGCATTCTTTTTGGTTGTTAAAAGTTATGAATTAATTTAAAGGTATAATATGTAAAAGTAACACTAGTAGATTGCTAAGACATTGGAACATAAAGGTAAGGCGCAAAGAAAATAACAAAACCCAAAAAATATTGCATGACCAAGATAAACTCGGGGTCAAAATAATGGCATATATTCTTTTAATATATTCTTTTTTCTCTTTTATTATTCTTATACTCTTTCTTCTTCTTTTTTTCCTTTTTCCTCTAACCCCAACCAGTCTTTTTTCTTTCTTTCATCTGTCATCAACCCATAGAAATCAATGGCTGGCTAACTTCTGTCTGTAAGAACCTATACATATAGTTTGTATTCCGCATTTTTCACATGCCAAAAGTGATCTATTAAATAAATATTTTAAATTTTTTTCTTTCTGAGAAGATGGCTAACATGTTTTGAAATTAAATTTTTAGAATTCTGAGAAAATATGATATTCTCTTTGAATTTAGTTTTATGTTTTTCCTCTCTTGCCGCTCAGACGTTATTAAAAAAAGAGTTTTGACAGAGTGTATCTGTGAAAGTATAACTATGATTTTGTAGTTGCTTTTGCAACTACAAATTTGGGGGACTTTACTTAATTTTTATATGATTTCTATATAACACGATTAATTTCTTTAATTCCTTTGTAAAAGGAATGGAATTTTTTGCAGTTATTCTAACAACTTGGTGCTTTCTTTTTTATTCTAATATATTTGTTACTACTGTGCCGCTTCTGTTCAGCTTTTTAAATAATGAGTATCCTTTCAAAATTCTTGTTTTTTATGTGATGTTTCCTTTGATATAGGTGTACCTACTGTTGGTATTGAATAAAGAGAAGTTAATTTAGAGGAGCTTAGTGAATGTGCATTTGTTCAAATGTGAGATATGTATGTAGAATTCAGGTGGTATGTTTTGTCTTATGTTACTCAAAGACAAGATGAAGGAAAATTTTGTATTATATTTTATAGAAAATGAGAGTTTAGAGTATATAAAATTATAAGAAGAAATATATATGTATATATACTTTTAATATTTTTAGTAGTTGTGCCACTTATGATTAGATAAGCAACATTATCCTAGGTGAAATATAGATTATCAGAATGATGTCCACAAGAATTGTCGAATGAGGGCCTCCCCAAATTTTCTTCTCAATAAAATCCATGAGAAATCTGGAAAAAAAATTGTCAAAATCAACTTTTTTAGGAATCTTGGAAATCAATCCAAGTTTTGGACCAATCTGTGGAACATTTACTCAAGAAAAATGACTGAATCTTTTAAAAATAGCAAGGTCTGTGGCATTTTAATTTGCCCTATATTCTTTCTGTCTTTCCAGGTCTGAAGTAGCCTTGAAAAACCAAAACTATTTCATCACAGTGAAAACCAGCAGCGTAGTAGGCACTGAAGGGAATAGATTGGGGTAGGAGAATCTTCAAAGACTAAATCTGAGAGAATTGTCATTATTTGACCTCTCTGGTAGCTCCTTGCAAAACTGTATTGCAAGACACTCTTTATTTGATCTGACTTGGAGCTCTCCCAGTCCAAAAGCATTTTCCCAGGTGGGCGTTTGTTAAAAAGAGAGGAAATTGCCTGATTTTTTTTTTTCTTCTGTGTGATAGGGTGGATAAAATTTGGGACAAACTATAGTCTAGCTAACCAAAGGCCTGATAAGGAAAACTGGAAAATGAGATGTCCACAGGGGCTTTAAAATGTACCTCAATATTATTGTGAATCTAGAAGGCCATGCACATGTGGAGGGATGTGCATATGCCCAAGGAGTATGTATGCTTAGGAAAGACTTCAGAAAGACCTAAGTTTTTACCTTTGACTGACCTTGAGCCTCTTTGCACAAGCAGGAAGTGAAGGCTAAGGCAGAATATTTATTTAATTATTTAGATGAATATTGAAGGAATGACCCAACATATACACACAGAACCTCAGCAAAGATGGGAACACTTGTTGGTTTGAGGTTTAGTAAAAAGAAAATCGGTTCAAGCAATAGTTGTCAAGTAAGCTAACCAAGCAATGGCTTTAATGATTATACATGGCCATTGAAGAATACAGAGTTTACAGAATTAGTTTAGAAAATCATTTACAGACATTAATTGCTATTTTGAATATGTTGAAAGAACTAAAGGAAAATATGTCAAAAGAACTAAAGGAAAGTATAAGAACAATAACTTATCAAATTCAAAATATCAATAAAGAAAAATTACAAAAAAGGAAACAAATAGAAATTCTAAAGTTGAGAAGTATAAAAATAAATTAAAAAATTCACTTACAGGATTTAAGAACAGATTTGAGCAGACAGAAGAAAGATCAGCAAACTTAAAAATAGGACAACTGAGATCATCCAACCTGAGGAACAGAAAGAAAAATAATGAACAGAAATAAACAGAAACTCAGAGGCCTGTGGGAAAAATGTAGACACAATGAGAGTCTCAGAAGGAGAGGAGAGGCCAAAGGGTCAGAACAAATATCTGAAGACTTAATGGACATAAACTTCCCAAATTTTATGGAAAACATTAATACATACATTGAAGATGCAGAATATTTGATTAAAAGTGGTACACTTTTTCAGTTCTTTCAGAACATTCTCCTGAAATTTAGGCCTTAGGAATGAATATACTTATTTCTCAGACTGATAAAAAAGGTCTAACCCAATTCTGGATCTATGAATTGGTCAGGAATATAAGGGAAACATCATTATTCATACCTCATAGTTATGCACATGTGTCATAACATTTGTTAGAAGCAATCATTGCACCTGCAATACTTGTTCTGTGTTTGTTCTCTTTATTATATTGTAAGCTCCTAGATTTCTTGTAGTTATTTCATATTTACCACTCTACAGTGTTTCTAAAACTTGGTTCAGTTCCCTGCTTGTAATAGAAGTTCAGTAAATATTTATTGGAAGGATAACATTTTATTTTTATATTTATAAAATGGGGAATAAATTACGTCTAGTTTTTGCAATAAAAATTAAATAAGTGCAACCTAGGGATGTACTTGACACAGTATTAGCAGTTAGTAAATATCCTTTATTTGATCTTCTATTGCATTTCTATTTTCATGCTGAGAGATCTACCAGTTCATAAGGTTGTTTTTTTTGTTTGCTAGTTTGTTTTTGCATATAAGTGGTATATGATTTCATTGTCAGCATTCAAAGATTGAGAGATTTCATATAAAATCTGAATTTCTAGTTTCTCTGTTTAATTGGATCTTTCAGAAAGCCCCAGTCAGGAGCCCTCTATGATCATGATAGTCCAAAGCTGAGTAAAACTGCCATTTTTAAGAGAATAAGCAAGTTCTTCTGTTTGACTCACTTTCCACCTGACATATTCACTCATTTAAGTTGCCAGTCTATGACCTTGACACAATATGAAAAGTCATTTTTTAAAATATATATTATACAACCATCAGAATTTTCTTTAGTTTCAGGGCAACTTAATTTTTAAAAAATTCCTCTGGGTGTTACATGCTGAAATAGTTTCATGCTAGACTTTGAGTACTTCACCTTAAGTAGGACACATCATTTGAATTTGAGCTTTCGGAAGTCTTTTCTAGCTGTTGTGTATGCAATAGACAGTATTTGTGTGTATTTTTGTGTGTCTGTATGTCTG